GGGAGGTGCCGAGGTCCCAAACTGAATATTGTCAGTTTTAATCGGATATAATAAAATCATCGTTTTCAGCTCAACACCAGTCCCTTTGAACAGATGAGGCAAGTCAACAGATATGTTTATCCACTTGTTTTGATCAGCAAGTTCGGTCTTTGGCCTATGTGTTGAAATGTTTGACTCATGGGCATATTCACGTGGAACCGTTAAACCCTTTCCTGTCTCTAGATATAATAGACACTGACCTGTGCCAGACAGTAGGTTCCTGAATGTAACATAGCCTACATGTCCCACAGCCCTATCCATTAAAGCCTCATTTTCTGCAACTTCATAATTCCAGCAGTCAAGATAACAGCAATACATTTTTTAAAATTTTGAAGCACGTCAATTTTTACAAATTTGACCGATATAAAAAGATACATAATTGATTTTTAGTTTTAGTATGAGTTTTACGGCACTGAAACACTACAACAAGGTCATAAGTGCCTAGGATAAGAAGTGTTACAGAGAGTAACAAACACAAAAAAAAGGAGGAGAGCAATAAGGATGACAGATGTTTGATAGAAAAGAAGGAGCACACCACACCAGAGCCACCCGCCAACCACCCACTCATAAAAGAACCTGAAGTCAAATGTCAAAGTGGTACACAGAAATAAATTATAGACAAGCCAAGGGGGGCTGTGGGGAGCCATGTGAACCATCAAACGGAGGGGACACATGATTGATTGATTGTAAACATGTATATGTACTTGGTTTATGCCCAATTGACACAATTTAGAGCTTTTGGAGGTGGGCAGCTTCAGCCCACTCTTTCAGTGCCAGCAGCCTGGACTGAGCAGGATACTGTATCCCAATACACAGGCAGACAGACTTAATAATTTCAAATAGTTAGACCATTCAGGAATCAAATTCACATCTTCAACATGCAACAGCTAAAACTCTAATGATTATGTCACAGACACAAGGGATGCAGGGCTAAAAATAAATATTATAACCTTTAACCCATTGACATAAACACACCTCAAATAAATAAACATCGTCACACTAATAAACAGATGGCCTAACTTATATATAACATACAACAAGTCAGGCCATTTATTTATGAGCATGGCAATATGCGCTAAAAATAAACAGAAACAAAAATTCAGCAAATATTTTGTTTAACACAAGAGATTTTATTGACATTCGAGTAGATATATATTAAGTGGGACAAAGGCTTGTAGAACCCATAGTAAATACCTTTCAAAGCACCCAGCACAAAGCAATCAACGAGCTGTCTTTACAAAGAGAGTTCAAGCAACAGCAGAAACGGAGGATTAAATATACCCCTCCTAATTTCAGACCGCTGTGGTGTGGCAGCCATTTTGTAACTTGACCATCAAAGATTACTTAAAAAGTGCCAGGGCCGAGAACTAATTGAAAATAAAAGATTACTAACTACTTGAACAAAAATCATACATTATAATAACCAACAAATTTGAAAGACAAGCCAATATGAAACTGGAACAGAAACAGAACCCTTTTGAAGACAGATGATATCCATTGGTATCAAATATTTCTGAAGACTCAGATTCCATTTCTTTAGCTTAACTGCCCTAAAATTGTAAACAAACGCAATAAATATTTACATACTTGCATTAAGCTTAGGTGCACAATGCAAACACACCTACACACCTACGGTTTTGAGTTCAACAACAGAGTTCCTACCTAGAGTGGTAAA